TTTGTCAATGCCCTGACTACTGGTCTTTGTGTATGCATCCCATTCAGCATGTCTTCATCTCATCTATGTGTTAGAAACCTGTCAGTTCAGTTTCGTTCAGTTACAAGGTGTGGAGAATGAGGTAAGGATGAAAGCCATGAAGAAAATCTAATCATTGAGAAAGAGAGAGGTTTAATCTCTAGGCTTCTTTTCATTTGTATTAAAAATATTTTAAATTACATTCCCATAAACAAAGTTCATTCATTCACATGCAAATGTTCAGAAAGGAAGGATAAAGACAATAATAATGTTATCCTACAGAGATGTAGAAAACTCAGTTTGGGGGCTAGATGACTTCGGATAAAGCAGATTTAGTTCTGAAAGTATGTTTGGAATCGGGATTGTTTCATTTATTTAAAGAGGTGTGTGGATCGAAGCAGTGCAATCCTGAGGTTAACTGTTCCTTTTACAGCCACAGAATTACACGAATCTTCTTTAGAAAGATGCACAATGAGCCCTTTACTTTTTGCAAGCAACATATTTTGTCATATATATATATATATATATATATATATGTATATATACACACACACATATATATATATTCTGTCTTATTTTACATATCTATTGTAGTTCCCTCTCCCTCCCTCCCATGCCCTCTGTCCCCCCTCCCATCCCATTTCCCCCCACACTCCACAGGGAGGGTGATGCCTTCCAGGAGGGATCATCAAAATCTGTCTGTCAAGTCATTTGGAGTAGGGACTAGGCCCTATCCCCTGCCTCTAGGCTAAAGGAATATCCCTCCATGGGGAATGTGCTCTCAAAGTCCTTTCATGCACCAGGGATACATCCTGGTTCCACTGTCAGATGTCCCTTAGACTGCCCAGGCCTTCTAACTGAGACCCACATTCAAGGGGGCTGAGTCAGTCCAATGCTGGTTTCCCAGTTATCAGTCTGTGGGGTCATGAGTTCCTCCTTGTTCAGGTCAGCTGTCTATGTGGATTTCTGTAGCCTGGTCTTGACCCCTTTTCTAATCACTCCTTCCTCTCTGCAACTAGATTCCAGGAGTTTGGCTCAGTGTTTAGCTATGGGTGTCTGCTTCTGTTTCCATCATCTACTAAATGAGGGCTCTATGATGGCATTTAAGTTAGTTATCAATCTAATTATCAGGGAAGGACATTTAAGCTAGCCTTTTCACTGTTGCTCAGATTGTTAGTTGGGATCATCCTTGTTGGTCTCTGGACATTTCTCTAGAGTCAGTTTTCTCTTCAAACCTATAATGGCTCCCTATATTATGGTATCTCTCTTTTTTTTTCCTCTTGTCTATTCGTCCCCCAAATCAATCTTCCTGGTCCCACATGTTCTCCTCTCCTCTCCTTCTCTTTCTCCTAACTCCCTCTCCACTCATTGCCCACCCCACTCCCCATATGCTCAGGAGCTCTTGTTCTTTCCCCTTCTGTGAGGGAACTTGTATGAATCTCTTAGGTTCCTCCTTATATCCTAGTTTCTCTGGCGGTGTGAATTGTAGGCTGGTGATCCTTTGCTCTATGTCTAAAATCCATATATGAGTGAGTACATACCATGTTCCTCTTTTTGTGACTGGGTTACCTCACTCAGCGTGGTTTCTTCAAGTTTCATCCATTTCAAGATTCCATTGTTTTTTTTCCCCCCACTGAGTAGTATTCCATTGTGTAAATGTGCCACATCTTCTTTATTCATTCTTCAGTTGAGGGGCATGTAGGTTGCTTCCAGGTTCTTGCTATTACAAATAATGCTGCTATGAACATAGTTGAACAGATGTCTTTGTTGCATGGATGTGGATCATTTGGGTATATGCCTAAGAGTAGAATTGCCGGGTCCTGTGGTAGACTGATTCCCATTTTTCTGAGGAACCACCATACTAAACTTCAAAATGGCTATACAAGTTGCAAGCAACACATTTTGTAAACACAGTGTTAGCCTGTATATTGATATCCATCTGTGGGCATAGAAGCAATGTCATGAAAAACATCCCTTCTATTTCAAAGTTCATTTTTAAATTAATTTGGAAAGTCACTGCTGAATGAGCAACTTAGCATACAAATCCATGTGCTCTTATTTATTTTCATATTTAAATGCCCCTGAAGGGGGTTGGAGAGGTGGCTCAGTGGCTAAGAGTGCTGAGTGTTTTTCAAGAGGACCCAGGCTTGATTCCCAGCACCCACGTGGCGGCTTACAACTGTCCGTGATTCTGGTTCTAGAGGACCCGGCGCCCACTTCTGGTGTCTGTGGGCACCTCATGCATGGTACATAGAAAATGTGAAAGCAAAACTCTCATACACAGAAAATAAAAGTAAACTAAAAAATAATAAAGTTTTAAAAATGAACCTGAGAAGAGAATAATTCCTACACATTCACACATGTATCCCTGACAGAACAAAACTACCAATCATAAAAAGTGTTACTATGTATTATTCTGACATGTAAGACAAGAGAAGATCTAATTTCAATTAGTCTTAAAACTGATGACTCTACTAATCAGTTCTAATTAGTAGCAATGGGACAATTTTTCTGTCCTTGTTACCATTTTCTTCCAGTGCCGGGATGGATCTGCTGGCCTTGTTCATGCTAGGCAAGTGCTTTGCCACTGAAGTGCATCTCCAGCTGGACAAAAGAAGTTCTTATTTACAGTTTATCTACATGTTCATGTGAAAATGTGTGTGTGTGTGTGTCCATGTGTGTGCCTGTGCGCACATCATGGTACACATGTGGAGGTCAGAGAACAACCTTGAGGAGTCAGTTCTGAACCTCCTTCTACACGTGGGTGCTAGGAACTGAACTCAGATGTCAGGACTGGTGTCGAGTGTCTTTACCCACTTCCCCAGCCCTCTCATGAGCACTGGGCAATTCTTACATAAGGGCTGCAACCTAGAATAAGGGCACCGCTAGGACAGAGGTAGGTGATGCGCACCTTTAACTTATGCTCATCTGACCTAACTGTCCTCCTAAAGGAACAGTTTGACTATTTGTCAAATGAAAGAGCTGAGCAAGCATTTTTTAGTTAAGCGTAATAAGTTCCAGATATACGCGAATATACAATGGTTTGTTAAATTATCACTGATGTGCTGCAGTTTTTTTTTTCTTTTGCTCGCCAAATGCCTACAATCCCCACGATTTCAAACGTGAGCTTTTTAATCATGCAGTCTTCATGCTTCTGATACTATTTCATGATTCCATCTGAGAATGACACAATGGTTACTTTCCATTGAAATAGATGCTTGTTTCGTGGTAGCTATACCCGGTCCATTCTTCCTTCACACGTAAACCCAAGAAGGAAAACTAAAGGATGTGCTCTTGTGACAGTCCTGTAATGCTTACATACCTACTTATAAATCACTGAAGGACAAGGGCAATAGTGTGAGATGGGCTGAGAAGTGTGAGTCTGCCTGGGTCTTCTCACAAGTCCAATCATAAAGAAACAAGCAAATCCCACCTCTGCATGGTGTTAAACAGTTCCAAATCATACTTCCAATCTCAGATGGTATCAAATGCTTTGGTTTAGATACTTAATTTCTCAACATACTTCAGAGTTTAGAGCATGTACAGAGGTCATCTTTGTACAGTTATATTGATCCCTACCTCACGAGAACGGCACATAATTGAAAAAAGATGACAGGACCAACCACAACCCAAAATGAAACACCAGGCACCTAGGAGCAACAAGTCTCAGGAAGAGGGGAATCATATTTCGGTACCAGACAACACAGTGCCAAAGCAGGGACATTTGAAAAGATAAAAAGCTCAGGCAACTGGTTGTTTGGGCTATGCAGTTGCTAGCACGTTAGACTGATGCCAGTCCTCAACAGGCCACAGGCATTCTTCAGGCCATTGTGGTTGTAGAAATGTGTCTATAAGGGGAGCTGCTCCTTGCTGCTTGTCATAGCTATTAAAAGAAAACCCCAGAATGCATCGTAAGTGTCTTTAGAATGTGAAAAAGTCCCATGTGTTAATTGAATTCAGTATAAAATGTCAATGTTTTCCCCACAGTGATGACTTCAGCATTGTCTTCCCAGTGGGAAACCATGTCTTATCACTCCACAAGGCTTAGAATTTGCACTGGCTCTGACAGAAGATGAAACTAGCACCCACATTTTGTTTACTCAACATAAGGCCTTTTTCCAGAGATGGTGTAAATTGTTGTTTTATATAACCCAATTGCCAGATCACATTGAAGTGTTTTTGTTTTTGTTTTTTTGTTTTAGGTTTTCAGTTATATTGGTATTATTTTCATTGCTAGAGCTCTGTAAGTCAAAGGAAGTATGTGCAATCCATGGAGGCCAGGGTTGATTCAGACTATGTCCATGCATATGAGTACTAATGCCCCTCCCAGAGAGAGGAGTCATGACACTGAGAGCTGCAAATGGCCTGTTTAGGGTGGAGTACTCAACTGTTCCTTCTCAGCACCTTGAGCAGCTGTGGGTCTCTGCCTTCACTGCCGTTCACTACGAAGAGATGCCTCTCTGATTAAGGTTAGGGGTAGCATTTGTTTCTACAGATACTCCAGGTTAAACAGTACCCTCTTTAGCTTGAGAGCTCAAGAATCCTTTCCAAAGAGGGGGCAGAAAAACCGTCAGAGCCAGAGGCAGGGAGATGGCTGTGAACTCCTGTCTTTTTTGCCTTGGCACAGTAGGGCAGCCATGGCCTCACCGTGGCTGAGACAGCCTATCAACAGGCAATCACAGATTGGAGAACTGATAGCTACGGATGGATCCCTGGGAAGGCACAATCATTATCTTCAGCTGTATACCTACTTAGGAGCTCACTAGTTCCAAATTCTTGGCCCCACAGACAATCCTGGCTAAACTAGGTGTTGTCTCAAAACAGAATGGCATGGATGTGGGGAGACAAGTAGGGAGAGTGATGGGTTGGGGAGGAGGATAGAGAGGATGAAGGCTACAGTAATCAGAATGCACTTCATGCATACAGGAAATTGTCAAAGAATAAATTCAATAGCACATTAAAAAAAAAAAGAGTCACAAATGGAGGTTTTTACATATTTATTGAAACAAGTTTCCAAAGAAATTTTGCCAGGCAATGTTGTCAAACTACTTTGTTTTAAAAAGAAACCAAAGCATGTGTCTTTAAAATGTTTTTTGAGTAGAGGTCTTACATAGTCCAGGCTGACCACAAACTCACTATGTGATGGAAAATGACTTTGAACTTGTAGGAATCATCCTTCCGAAACCACGCTGAGTTTATGCAATGCTAGAGCGCTTTGTGCGTGCTAGGCAAGCAACTCACCAATTGAGATAAATTCTCTGCCTATCTTTATTTTAAAATCTGATTTGTTCTGATTGGCTATCCAGCCAGAACAAATTGATAAGTTTTTTCCTACTAATAATGTAAATGATAAATATTTTGTTTCAAGAATTCTTGGAGGGCTACAGAGATTACTCAGTTGTTAAGAGCACTGGCTACCCTTCCAGTGGCCCTGATTTCATTTCCCAGCAACCACATAGTGGCTCACAACTGTCTATAATATACATAACTAAAAAAATTAAAATTAAAAAAAAGAATTCTTGGAATTGTCGTATACATATGTTGTGCTTTGATTGTATAATAATAAAAAGATTCAGGATCCTAGGGTTAACTTGACTGCTTGACCTATGCTAATGTCATGAGTCTTGCCAGAGCAAATAGCTTTGTAAAAAATTCCTGAGCACTGAGCAGCTAGAGAATTCAACATGGCTCTTAGACGTAAACTCAATGTCATGCTGGTAAATTTGTTTCTCTGGGAGCTTGAGGCTGTTTAGCATATTGAATGAGAATTTTACTATCATTTCAGGAGACACTGCTTTATCCAGAGTAACTGTCCAAGACCTTGAACACTTTTGAGAACCTCTCAAGTCTGATAATGGACAAGACAAGGTTAGATCAAGACCAAAGGCCTGGGTAGTCAGAGAGGATCTTAGACAGCCTGAGAAAGAAGGAACTAGACTTTTCAGAGAAAGAGAAACAAATTTCAACTAACAGCCATGGGCAGAAGAATAGGCGAGCAATGATGACTCAGAAGGCAGCATCTGCAGGGTGAATGTCTGAGGATCAGGGCACATTACAAATTGATTGTGAGTGTCCATGGGGGCAGGGACTCAGGTGTCCACCAGAACAATGAGAACACGACAAACAAATCTGTTGAAGATACACTGTTGAACACCATCTTTTATCAGAGCACTGCACAATCCCAGGACAGTGCAAACAGGATCGTCTTTCACCATATAGAGAGCCCACACCAGCCTGCAACTCTGCCTATAAAATAGCTGCATAGCTCAAAAGGCTGCATAGCTCTGTGCAGCATGAACGCACGCAGCCTTTCAAACGCACCCCAAACTCAACAGCAAAAAGTTCAGTTAATTTTATCTCCCCTCGGTTTCTACGTGGTTAGCAGAATAAAATTTTCATCTTTTGTTTCTTTCCTGGAATAAAGTACTAAGCATCCCAGGAGAGCTGAGCACTCAATTTGCTAGATGGTCTTTCAAAGGTCAGAATTAGAAAGCTAAGGATTAAATGGGACTGACTTGATTGAGGAGAAGAGGTTAGTGGAAGAGGTTAGTGGGCCCTTCTGCATTTTGCTCCACTGTTTTTAGTACATGGAGGTCAAGCAATCTCATGTAGAATGTTTCCTCTGATGGCCTGATAGCCACCTCCCAGAGTGTCGTATTGAGGACCAGGGGATCTTTCCAGCCTTACAGAAAGGGCTGTACAGTGTGCGGGAGAGACGGCAGAGCACTGTGAGACACAGTTGCTGCGGGTACAGATATATTTCATTCAGCCTTGAAGATCCCACAGTGCAAAAGGGTGATAGATGATCTCGGCCTGCATACACTCCATGTTCTGTGCCCACACAGCACAGGCCAGGCCCATGGGATGAGGCAAGACCAGAATAGCAGCTTTGGGATGTTGCAAGGAGAGGTGACCTTAGCAGAGAAGGAAAATGTTGCTTCTCTCTTTAAAGATTACTATTTCTTCTACAAGTTTTCAAAAGTGACTGAGATGTGGCTGAATGTGGCCAGGTACAAGTCTACGAGTTACCCAAGGATCTCCTGTGAGGACTGTGCGCTTTCTTGCTGAGTTTTCTTAGCAGGTAAAAACAAGCTTAACAACTCCCAGGGATGGTGGGGATATGAAACACTTGCTTTGTTTTCTGTCTGTCCCGTGACATAACATAACATGAGGGAAGTTCCAGATGATTAGAGTTGACATTAATAATTAGAGGACATTATCCAAAGCTGTTAGGTAGTGAGATGACCCAGAAGAAGACCAGCTTCCTGATTTGAACCCTCAGGGGTGAAGCACGCCAGTGATGGTGACTTCAAGGTGGTCGGAATGAGTGAGGGGAAAGCAGCAAGGAGGGGATACCCCCTGACCAGAAGGTAGCACCTCATAGTGCTCCTTCTACACCCTGAGTTGGATGGCGGGCAGCCAGGCCTTTCCTAGGATTTCAGTCCTTCCTTCTTCCAAGTCCATGGGATGTCATTGTCTGAAGAGAGCGCAGTAGAAGAAACAGTGAAAGGTTCTTGTGTCTACACTGATTTGAAATTAATTAAACTTGTCTCCTCTTCATCTTCCCTTGGCAGGCCCAGCAGGTGCCCTCAGGGGGTGCACTCTTGGAGAACATCAACACTGTTCAGAGTTAGGATTCATTGTCACTGGAAAAGAAAGAAATACAGAACAATAGCACATTTCCAAGAAGCAAGGGAAAGGTGATCCCTGATTGCAGAGGTGACTCAAGAGTCTATGCAATCAGAAAGGCAGTATTCTTTAGCTTTGAATTTTATATTCGATTCTTGAAGAGGAAATCCATGTACACCAAGAGTTAATCCCTAGCTCTCCCAAATCCCTCCCCAGTGACAGGGAGACAACCAGATGGAGTTGGGGGTTCTCTTCTTTAATTAAATCTAATCCCATTCCCTATGAATAGGTGCCAAATGTCTTTTCAAAAACAAACAGATAGATAAACAAAATATGAGTGCCCTTTTCCCTCAAGAGTTTGTGGTCCTGGCTTATTTTCAATAGCATCTTGTTATAGCCCACAGAGGGGCTAGGGCATGTTCTTTGCACTATTTAGAATTTCATCATGGGTATCTTGGGGTATAAGTTAGAGATCTGATATTTGAACATACCATGCTGTTGGCTAATTCATTCTTTTTTGTGTTTGCTAATTTATTGTTTGGTTATCTCTCCAATATCTGACTTCACAGCTTTTTCCCAGTGTGCCAGAGGCTCCAATGGAGAGCAGGTAGACACCCACATCTCGCTTCCTGCTTCTTTGGCTTTGATGTAGTCTCTATTCACATTCTAGCACATCTCTATTGTAGTCAATCAACCCTGTCTCCAAGGAAGGGCATGAATGACCACAGTGAGCATCTGTGCTCTCTCTCCTTGGCTCTGGAGTGTGTGAAGTCCACTGTGGTCCTTCTGAGTCATCCTACAGATGCTCAAGCATAAGCTAGGGAATACACCTGTAGTCCCAACAACCATAGCCCAGGAAACAGTGAAAACTGTCTCAGAAAAAGAAACAAAACAACCACAACAGATGACAGATCAGTCAATAGATATATATGTCCTTGACAGGGGAGAGGAGCCCCCCTCCCCACCACAGTGTGTGTGTGTGTGTGTGTGTGTGTGTGTGTGTGTGTGCGTGCGCGCGCGCGCGCGTGCGTGTGTCAGAGAGAGACAGAGACAAAGAGAGACAGAGAAAGAGAGATGGGAACAAGGGAAGCATGGATGAGGGAGAGGAAGGCAGAACTGCATCTGATGCACTGGTGCAGGGGAATAAACAAAGGAAAGGCCTCTATAACAAAACTTATCAAATGTGGACAATGAATGGAATTTTTTTCCCTCTGGGGATGTAATTCAGTGACAGAAAGCTTGCTTACCACTTGTACTCTCCAGGCCCTGGGTTTGATCATCAATACCTCTGCACACTAAAGAGGGAATATTTTCTAAAAGTTAGGTACAACAAACCTTTAATTATGTCATTCTGAAAAACTCAAAGTGAGTGAGTGAAGGCTTCATTTCTCAGAAACACCATGGTAACAAGACAGTATTGCTAAGGCCAGAAGGCTATTTCTGTGGAATACAAGTCCCCAGGTTGTTTGGTCTCCTTTTATGGCCTCATCTAGCAAGACCCTCTTTGTCTGCAACACCGAGCTCTGTCCAATGGTTTTTAACAGAAATAGTTTTCAAAATTATTGTGAAAACCAGTCCTTGTTCATTTTTTTAGTTGGAAAATACAGGACTGAGAATGTAGCACAGTGGTAGAATGTTTGGCTACCACATACATGCTCCTAGGTTCCATCTGTAGCAAGCCTACACCCCAAAAACAGAATAAAAACACCAGTATTGTTACTATAGCTATTTTGCACTTACTCTTACAAGTATTTTTCTGTTCTAAACATATTTCCTCCTTTGTTCAAAAATAGGATCTTAATATGCACATTGTTCTGTACTCTCTTTTTTCTACTCTTGGTCACACAGGGTGGGATATGGCTCAGTGGTAAAGCTCTTCCTAGCACACATATGGCTCAGTGCTGGGTTCAATCCCAGCAGCACTACAATACACAGGTTAGAACCTCCCCCACTTCCCCCTCCCTTTCTAGAAGCAACATAGTGACCTATTAACCCATTGGGTATTTTTAAAATGAGGCTTAGGAATGTAATACAACAGTAGGGCGTTTAGCTGGTATATGCTGAAGCCTTGAATTCAATCCCCAGTACTAAAGGAAGAAGAAGGAAGAAAGGAAGGTAGGCAGGCTAGAAAAAGACAAAACAACAATAAAACCCATCTCTAACCAATATTTATTATAATTAACTCTTTAGACTACATCCAATTTTTAACTTTTGCAAATGATTCCAATCATTCCCTTTGCATAAGTCTCTACAAGAGGAATTTTGGATGCTTTCAGGCCCATTGTTAAATGGTCCCTCTAGGTAAGAAAGCTATTATATTTTCTTTACCTATGTTTTCATTTACTTTTTTATTACTAAGAAGAATATACTTTTTCCAAACATTGACTGGTAATTTCAATGTCGTCTTTAGCTAAGTTACTTTATTGACAAACCTTGCTCATATTTACAACAAGTCAATTATCTTTTTATTGGTTCCCATAGTAAGAATAATTTGACTCATTATGTATACTGCAAAACATCTCCAGTTTTTAATTTTAGTTCTAATTTTTGTTTTGTTTTGTTTGAGGTGGGGGTCTCACTCTGTGGCTGCTGTGTATTGGTTTCTTCTGAGATTAAAACTGTCTTTTCGTCTTGGAGAAAATTCAGTTGAGGCCCATGATGTTAAAGGGGAGGGGAGACAGCAGACTGTTCTAATGGGAGGTGGACCTTTCCATCCTGCAGGGAAGCTTATCCAGACTGAAAGTGAACAAAGGCTTCAGGAAGTCCCCCAAACTGAGCAGATTCACTAGGCCCTTCCCTCCTCAAGCATGTAAAAGCAGAAAGCACACTGAAAGATACCCAGACCAGGCACACTCCAACCTGTTGAGCTGCCTACAGGCTGTGCACTATGCTCCAGGTTTCCAATTTTGTGAGCTGTCACCCATGCTGGGGTGGGCTTTGGTGACGTAGCAGTCTTTGAGTCATTTCTGTCCCTATAAATAAACCCTAATAAAACTCACTGGTTCACCAGTTTGGACTTTTGTGGTATCCTTACCTTGGTCTGCCATCAGTTCCCTTTTCCCAAGTTCTTGGCCCAAAGGAGATCTATTTGCCCCAGACAGACAAAGATCTGGGGATAAGAGACAAAGACAGGAGAAGGGGAAGGGTACAAGGGAAATGGGGCAGGGGTATTTGTCCCAGGGAGCGAAGGACTGCCCCTGGATAGAGAGGAGACAGGAAAATGGCAGCCTATAAAGGTAAAGGGGGAGCCCTATGTTTTTAATTGAGCATGTTAATTAGGTGAACCAGAGGGGACTTTTGATTGGTGAACTTCAATGCTTTGGGACCTGGACCCTATTAGTCAGCTTCAGGAGGAGGAAGTGGCCAAAAAAGGGAATAGATCTTGGGGTCTAGCTTCAGGGGATGTAAACTAATGGTTTTTAGCAAGACAGAGGGAATCCAGGAGAGGAGCAAGACCAGCCAGAGCCAAGTTTGCCTGACCTAGACTGGTTAGAGCCCTTCATTTGTCTTTGATTAGTAGCACACTATGGCTTCCGCTTGCTCAAATCTTTTATGTCTCTCAGTAAAAGGAATGAAGGTTTAGCTCGGTGGTGAAGCATGTGCTTAGCATGTGGGAGTTTCTGAGTTCAATCCCCATCAATCCCCAGCATTAAATAATAACTACATTAATCAATAAGTAAATAAATCTGTGTGTACATGGTGGTGCATGTGAGCATGTGTGTGTGTGTGTGTGTGTGTGTTTATGTTCATGGATGTGGGTGCTTAGAGTGTGTAAGCTGGAGAAGGGCGCTGGGTGTCACTCTCTGCCTACTCTCTTAAGACAGAGTCTCTCCATGAGTGTGGAGCTGGGCTGTCATCTAGCAACCCATCACAGTTCTCCTGTCTCTGTCCCTACAGTGCCAAGGTTAAATTCAAGGGTAGGATCACACCCAGCTTCTTTACAATATGTGCTGGGATCCAAAAAGCCAGCACATTTATCCACTGTACCCTTTCCTGTTCCAGTAAGTAAATATGCAAACCTTTAAAAAGGTAATCCCATGCATTGTCTTGTGGGTGTTGGGGCTGGGTAGCTACCATTTTCGGTGGCTTTTACGACAGTTATGATGTTTGGGTACACTAACAAGTGGATTCTTAGCATAGGAAGAACACTCTACCTAACCGGAGTTTGAATCAGGGCCCAGTTTCTTCCTTGCTGTGTGACCATAGGCAAGTTAGTCTTTCTTAGCTGCAATTTCCTTGTCTGATCTCATCTTCAAAACACACCTAATAATTATATAGCTTATAGGGTTGTTGCAAAGAATAAATGAGGGGTTGAGGTGTAGCTCAGAGGTAAAGCATGAGAGAGGCTGTGGCCTCAGTCCTGAGCACCACACACTCAAAGAAAAAAAAGAGAGAAATGCAGGTAAAACCCCATGTTACAGGCTTGGTGCTTAGACACAAGCCTATCGGCAATGCTTATTCTGCAGACTGAGCACCGGCAGCGACTGTTTGCTAGTTATCTGGAACATTGCCACTAGGATTCAAAGGCTTTAGGAAAACATCTTCAGAAGCGTGCTTTACATTTCTAAGGGGAGGCATTTTGTTTAGCAATGTCATTACTTAACTCCCCAAAAGCAAAGTGCTCATGATCTCTGGCCCCTCATCATGGGATGACAAGGTCCCAGCATAGACACAAGCTGCTTCTGCTTTGATGAAGACAGCAGGCCATTCCCAGGGAGCAGCTGCCCTCCTGGTGTTTTGTGTGGTTTGATGTCCACCAGACCAGTGAGTGAGTCAGCACACTCCGCCCACAGCCCCCCACAGCCCCCCCACAGCCCCCCACAGCCACCTACAGCCCCAGCACAGTGACCCAGGGCATTCCCCCATCACAGGCTCATTCTTTTATTCAATTCAAGGCTCATGCTGCTGCCTCTGGTTATTCATCATCTCTGGGAAATGATCGAATAAGCCATGCATTTTTAACTCTAGCAAACCCTGGAGTTCCCTGTTAAAAATACCTTGGCGAACTGCCACCAAGCTACAAACACAATAGCGGCTCCGCATTAAACCTTCCCTGCTTGCCATGATGTGCACACGTGTGGTTTTTAGCAACTTATTTCTGACACTGACATTAACGAGCAATTTGTCTAGGAGTGTTATGTAAACACATGAAAAACATAGAACACCTTTCCACAGCATACACGGGGACAGAAGGACAAACTGTAAAACAGTCTGCAAGGAGGCACTTGATTGTCAGGCTGCCAGCAGAATGGGGGTAGATTCCACTTGAATACTTCACCTCATAGCTGTGACTCTGTTTGTCCAGATTGGACAGTCATCCTGTCCTCTGGACCCATCTATTTTGCAGCAATCCTGAGTTATGGCCACAGCTAATGCAGCCATCTCTGAAGATGGCAATATGCCATTACTAAGCCCGTGGAAGGTCATGGTGCTCTGACTCAGCTTCAGAGAGTGTAGAGTTCAGTTTGGCACGAAGTCACGTAACAGTTAGATCAAGCTCCCTTCTCATCAATACAAAGTCCCTTCCCGACAGAGCTGAGCCTGGGTAGAGTTACACACACATACACACATACACATACACACACACACACACACACACACACACACACACAGAGAGAGAGAGAGAGAGAGAGAGAGAGAGAGAGAGAGAGAGAGAGAGAGAGAGAGGAGATCATGCCTGCTGTGGAGATATAATCTGGTATACACACACAGGTGCTCTCTCTCTCTCTCTCTCTCTCTCTCTCTCTCACACACACACACACACACACACACACACACACACAGAGAGAGAGAGAGAGAGAGAGAGAGAGAGAGAGAGAGAGAGAGAGAGAGAAGTCATGCCTCCTGTGGAGACATAATCTGGTATACTCACACACCTGTCTTTATCAGTGTCATTCTGGAGGGCACAAACTATTATTTTGTATCCCTCGTGATAGTGAATCTAGATTTGAGCAAAATTAATTCACTACTTTTTTTTTTTTTTGAGACAGGGTTTCTCTGTGTAGCCCTGGCTGTCCTGAGACTCACTCTGTAGACCAGGCTAGAGTTGAACTCAAAGATCTACCTGCCTCTGCCTCTTGAGTGCTGGGATTAAAGGCATGTGTGACTATACCTGGCTAGTTCACTCTTAATATTTGCTGACTTGAAGGATACTTTTAATGATTTTTTAAAGGGAACTAGATAGGGAAAGAGGGGAAAACTACCAAAGGAAACAGAAGTGGTCACAGACATTTCCTAACACCTTGACCTTTCTCTTCATTGTTGTTCACCTACGGACAAAGATGGGGAGCAGACAATGGGCACTTGGTTACATTTGCTCATGTAGTTCAAGGTGCAGACAGAAGCACTGAATGTCTGACTAGAGATGACTCCGGAGACAGCAATATGCTGGCTAGCCTGGATAAGCCAGGACCAGGTAGGCTCTGTCTGAATAGTACCTCTATCTAGCAGCATTTGGGTGCTTTACAGGTAGGGTCAGACAAGGGAGGAGTATGCTTTCTCCAGAGACTTTGAATAGCTGGTTATAAAACACACCAAATGGGTTTGTTTTTATCACCGTGTGCCGGCAAAGTCTAACCATGTTGGCAATGAGATTCTCTCAACTCTGGGCTGCCTCTACCCCATCCTTCTCATATGCCCTGAATACCACTGAAAGGGTTCCTTTGTCTGGTGCAAGTCACATAACAGGGGATTAAGGGGAAAGGCCACTAAGGTGGGAAATAAGAATAGAGAAACTGTTCCACCCCGGACTCCTTTGTTGTCTTTTCCTATCATTGTTTTTCAATTATGACAACCTTACTGCAAAGGTCTTGAAGTAGTTTGTACATGTGATCCTTATGAAAATCCTATTTGGAGACTGATCATGTGCACAGTAGCCACTGGCCCAGCAGACACAGGATCCAGGGTTCTAGTCCTAGACCATAGTTCAAGAAAAATATCCACTTTGAGGTAAAGGTTTAAGAGATGGCTGATGGGGGATTTGATCGAAGTACAGTATATGGATGTATAAAAATATAATGACACCTATTATTTTGTGAAATTAATATAACTAAAAATAACAAATTCATATATATTTAAAATGTCAATACTGCCATCACCCCAATACTCAGAAAGTTGAACAGGAAGACTGAGTTCAAGGCCAGCCTGGACGACATAGTAAGATTCTCAAATAAAAAAATGGGAGGAGGGTGGGGGGATAAGGGAAGAGAAAAAGGAAGGAATAAAGAAGAGGAGGAGGAGGACCGAAAAGTACAGTGAGAACATGTAAAGAGAAAATCAAGGGCTGGGGTAGACTCCAACAGAGCCACCGTTTCCCAGAACCTCAGGGGACGCCTGACATCCAGAGAGGGCTGGCCCTGCACACGGACTCCAGAAGTCTCCCTTTATCAGGAGGATGGACAGTGCAGCATCCACTAAATTCAGTCTGTGTTTGCTGTCCCTGCTTTCTGAAGCATTAAGGTCACCTGATGAGGGCAGATGTCTCAGGGGGTCAATGCCAACAGTTACTTGATGATGACATATGATGATTGTAACAAATGTGTCCCCTGTGGGGAGGTGTTGATGAGCTGGGCTGTGTATGAGTGAAGGCAAAGGACATGTGACAGTCCCTGTACATTCATTCTGCTTTCAATATCGTATGCCTGTGGCAGTCACTAGAAGGGATGTGGTCAAGAGCTGAGACTGGCCAGTCTAGAACTCCAGTGCTGGCTTCCCAGATAGGGAATTGGGTGAAGCCCTGGCAGATGTCCTGAGACTCAAAGCCAGATGCTTCCAAGCCCACGGAAGAGTTCAGACACTCACTTGCAAAACGATCAGTTCACGTAGAACAACTCTCCAAACAGATAAGGTTTTTCTTTTTCTGTCTTAAAGGCAGCTTATTTCAAAACTAACCCCTCTATATTAAAAAAAAAAAAACCAAGATTTTAAATAAATTTTATTACCATACAATTCTATAAGGGCGAGTTTCTTCAGCGATGCCAGTAATTTCAGAGTGAGATTCAGGTGTATAAAACTACTGACATTTCTCAACACAGGGGTCAGCAATAATGTTAACAGAGTTTGAGGGTGATCAGTATTGATCTATGTACGGTCTCGATAGGAGGGAAAGGTTAAGATATGTGGAAAAGATTCTTCTGTGATGTCCCTTGTCATATAACTGTGGCATTATTTTTCTTTCTTTTACCTTCTTGTTACACTATCTGGAATCTCATTGAAGTGAGATAGAGTATTTTCTGAAGTAGAAATGAATGGTAACACACAAATACCCCAAGAGTTAACATGGACTTAATCTCTAAGAGTCGACTCAGGGTCATGGCTGAGGCTGGCACGGGTAGGCCTTCAGTAGTCCATGACTGAGAGAGATGCAGGGTGATGAATGTTTAGGAGACATACTGAGATTCTAGAGGTATAGACACAGAGACAAAGACCCCAGAGGAAATCCTAATAACATCTTTCAGTGCTGTGGCCTCCGGGGACATGTGACTGCATTCTAGAAGCATCTAGACAAGTGAATGGATAACTTGTGTGTTCATGGGTATTCACCATGCTCTCAAGCTTCATTCTGTGTGTTTTAATGCAAGATTTCCATTACCATCACAGTCCAATGTCTCTGATGTCTGGTCATCTTTGTGTTTAAACCCCCCCCCCCCAAAATCATAGTCATGCTCTGAAGAGTAAGTCTCCTCTTTAATTCCTTCTAGTTTTTTCCATGTACCGAGCAAACACTTCTCTAATCGTCAATCCCCCAACCTTGCTAATTTCCCTCCTCACAAAGATAATATTTAAATGATACCGTCCAGGGCTAATAAATTACACCTGGCCCCAAGGCACTAAAATTTTCTATCAAGCAGAGCCACCTAGTGGCAGAATGGAATATACTTTTAATTTTCATTTCTCTCTGATAATAAATCCAGACCAGGCGGGTAGGGTTCTTTGTTTGTTGCCTTGCTTTTTAAAATGTTCCTCCTAATCATGATCACTGAAAGCCACCTCCTTTGGGACTGTCCTCTCCACCTGTTTCCTTACCGAACATCTCTCTATCCAAGGTAAATAACCTCACAATTCAATTTGCTATAATCAGCAAATTTTAGGACTAAAACAGAAGCCAGCTCAACAATGTCTCCTTGAATCATCAAGAGCATGTCAACACTAATTTATATCTAAGGATAAAGAGCTACTTGGATATTTTGCATTTTCCAAAACATGCTTTCTGACCTCACATTCCTTGGTGTAAGCTGACATATTAAATTGCCAGGCATAGGGAAGGCAAACAAAGTGCTGTGTTGTGGCTGTGGACCTCTTCCACCCTACATGACCCCTGACGTACCTCTGGCTGAGGTTTGGCTCCTTTTCTTCCTTCAAAGTAGGTAAACATTCATAGTCGGCTAAGACAGAAGAAAAACAATTCACTGTTAGTCACCAGAATTGCTTTTCTACCCACAAAGCCAACACAGCCGCAAGGACTGTCCCCTCTGTGAGGAAACGCCCCCGCTAGGGACTTCTAAAGCTTCGAAGATGAATGATGCTGAGGCTCTTGAAATGGAAAGTGCGCGGATCATGCAGATACAATACTGCAATGTCCTGTGCCCCTGATGAAAAGGGCACAATTCATCATTGCTGGCTTAGTTGGTCCCTTGAAGCCCAGTGTTCCGAAAGCCAGAATATGTCTCTTGGAAGCTAGACCAGGGAGCAAAATGGTGTGCCTCATGTCCTGACGTGTGTCTGCAGAGCAACTTTATAGCAGAAGCCTCAGGAAGGTGGGGTGTGAGTGAGCACCTTCTCCCAGTGAGCTTCTTTCTACACACACACACACACACACACACACACACACACACACACACACACGAGTGTTGTGGTGTGCCATATCCACGTCCACGTATGCCCATGTGGAGGCCAGAGTCTGCCACTGGGTGTCCTCATCTATGATTCTTCACCTTACTTTTTGAGGCAGCGTCTCTCCTGAATACACAATACCCTCTCTGGCTATCATGCTGTGCATTAATGCTTTTATTTTCACATAAATGTGAACACACACATATAAATAAGTTAACAGCTAACTAAATAAATCTGTTCTAAAAAATACAAATGATTGAACTGGAGCCGTCATCCAGTGTGGAAATGTTTACTTAGCGCACAAGTGTTGAGTGCTTGACTCCAATTCCCCAGCACCTGTGTAAAAACCTCAGCGTGGCTGTACCTGCCCATAAGTCCACTCTCAGTCTCTGTGTGTGTGTGTTCAGGTGCACTTGTATATTTAGGGGGAACACGTGGGCAGAGACATCATGCTGTCCAGTCTGTCTAACTAAAAAGCAACAAGTTCCAGGTTCAGTGAATAATTCTCAAAGGAATATGAATGGCATTAGAGGGCAGCACCAGAGGTTTTCCTATACACACACACACACACACACACACACACACACACACACACACACACCTGCATATACCATGAATATAATACCCACAAATACAAATAGAATGATAATAGTAGGTTTTTATCAATTTAATATGAGCATTAAGAAAGATTTTTTGATTTTTAAAGAACACAACCCTGTTGCCATTTTAAAGACTTGAAAATTGTTGTGTGGGAATCCCTATTACTGTCTACAGTAGTCCTGCCTGATAAAACTATCTTCCCACACAGAGATGTTCTAGAATCTTCTTGTCAAACACCATATCCACTGGTTACCAATCATTACCATCCAGCTATGAAAATTATATGATTAAATAGGCACACGGCTCTAACTCCTTTTGCATTGGGCAGTGATTCATATAAAATACACTTGATGAATGATGGAGTTGTATGACCACATACAGATTGAAATTCCCTAAATTCAAGAATATATAATGTCATGTCAGATTTCCTCCCCTAGATAATTTGCTATCAGATTTCCTTCCCTGAAGAGAAGGATGAAGGCTGGGGATGCAGCTCAGTGGTAAAGCACATGCCTGGCATATGATAGGCTGGTGTTTGATTCCCAGCACCAGACACACACAAAACCAAACCAAACAAAGACCACACACACTCAGAAACAAGTAATAGCACCATCTCCTTTTGAAAAGTCCCATTTCAACTTGTACACACATAAAAACAAGTGGTAACAACAGACACAATGAGTATGATTATGATTAAACTGGACTTAAAAACTATTCAGACCCTGTCCCAGGCGGAGCCTGACTTCAGATTTACTGAGTTGTTGGTGAAGCCGAGGCAGCCTTCTGACCTTCCATTACCAGGAAGGCAAACAAATACTTTGGGTTTGCACGCACCTTTTCTGTTCATGCTGCTCATCCATTTATCAAGCTCGTCCATCTCTATTTCCATAACAGAGGGTGTGTCCTCTTCAAAAATAGGGCTATGCAGGGAACAGAAACACACGTTTTAAAAAGAGAACAAGCCCTGGAGGCTGAACATCGCCTAGTTTGAAGCAACCTTGATTCAGTGTCTGACGCTCCCATCTGGCTCAGGGTTTGCCCTAATCAAAGGAAGGAGTATCAAACTCTAATAGGAAGAAAGCCAAAATCTGCAAGAGGCCCTCATCTGTCACTAAGGCCAAACTGGATGGCGTAGAGGCGGGGAGTTGACTAAAAGAGAGCTGCTCCCTGGAGACCAAAAACACGGTTGCCAGGGTGCTTGGTGGCTGCCTCATTTAGCTTCCTGGCCTTGCCTGGCGTCACTTCTCTTTTCTTGGAATTTTGATCAATGACCCAGATCAAGAGGCCAGTCATCAGGCTACTTTTATCTGGTCTCTTTCAATGCCCAAGCTTTTCTAACTGCAGCTCTCAGAAATGGCCTGGCCCCATCTTCCAGGCTTTGAGGGCATGGATAGGGTCAAAGCTCTGGTCAGGATGGATGCAGCTAGAGAGGAAAGACCCCAGCTCTGAATGCATTGTGGGCATTGCACAGGGAGATGATGCAGGTGGTGTCTACTCCAGCAATGCTGATGGGAGGGGCAGGAGAGGTATCACCCCGAGTCTTTGGATTTCAGTCGGGGCCAGAATATCTAGCTACTATGCATCTGGCACTGGTAGCAGCCAGACGAAAACTCTTTTCTGGCAGGTGACAACAGCAGAGATCACTGGGCAAGGTTTTGGAGACTAAGACACATCTCCCTTGTGACAACAGGGGCTGTCAGAGTCCAGGGGTATTAGCTACAAGAGACTGTCACCTCCCAGATTGTCACAACAGAAGCAGGGGAAAGGCTAAGGGCTCTGTCATCTCTTCCCCCTGACTATTCTTGTTCACACAGCAGGGTGACTGAGGACTGGCTGGGAAGATTCACTCACACTTTCAGGTTTTCACCAATCGGTTCATCTGAAAGAGAATAAACACAGGAGTCAGGTCAGCTCTGATCCTCCGCAGGGATTTATGGCAACAACCCTAAGTCTGCTTTATAATGGGAAGGAAACAGAGGCAAGCGAATTGCATAAAAAAAGAAATCAAAAACAAAAACAAAAACCTTGTTTTTACTGTATTTACTCTGTGCCTGAAGACCCATAGTCAAAATAAGGGGACAGTTTGTGGAAGTTTGAGTTCCAGAGATCATTTGCAAGGCCTTTACCCGCTGAGCCACCTTGAGACCTTGAATCACATCTCTCAAGTGGCAGGCATTAGCCTCCAAGTCACACAGTGCAGACGGCTATGGTGAAACGAGGTCCAAATCCCCACAGACCCATGGACTCTGCTTTCTTTAGAGATGGGTGCTCCCTGAGAGTGCTCACCTTTCTTATTATTCTGTGTGCACACAAAGAGGAAAAGCATGGTCAGGAAAGGAAGGAAGTGTTAACAAACAAACAAAACCGAGGAGTTGATTCTTGATTCCTTCCCTTCAATAAAAGAATGTCCTAGCATCATTTCCTCATGACACACCATTCTGAACACTATGCCATATGGGTGACTCCATCAAGGGATGCCTTTGAAAGTCCCCTTTATCCTGCTATTTGAATAGCTGGATCCCTCACTTCTCAGTCAGTCATCCCCACCTCTATTTCTGGAAGGTCCATCTGTCCCATTGGTCTCTGGCACTTAATTTTCTTGCTTCCTTCACAGGACTGGCCAGTTTCTCACCTGTTAGACCATCTGTTTAAGTCTGTTTCATCTGTGTATCCCACTAGAGCATAGCTCCCAAAGGGCCAGGCTAGCATCTGCCTTTTTCACTGTGGCATGCCCCAGCCCCCATCCTGCTAGCACAGTGCCTGGCAAATGCCTAGTAGATACTCACTAGACAGATAAATAGGCTTGAATCTCAGTTGTCTGGCAATGGAGCTAAATTCATGTCTGATCCTTTGGACCTGTCATTATTATAATAGTGGACTTCCAACCAGCTTGCCTTTGACGGCTGCTAACTGGGGTGAGAGTCAGGTACCATTTGACTCCAGATGAACAGGCGGCAAGAATCATAGCCTGCTGGCTTGGCCCAAGCAAACTCTGTTTGGTTTGGCAGGGAGACCAACATCTCCCCCGGAAGGGAATCAATGATGGCAAGTGGGTGCACTGCAAACAAGACAGATGCTTTGGAAAGCAAGCTTTTGTGGAGGTCCCAAGATAGTTAGATGCTCCTGACCCTTGACAATCAGAGGCCACCTGGTGTCTAGCCTGTTATCAGCGAGGAAGCACAGCCAGCAGGCCCCCCAGAACTGAGCTCAGGGTTGCACAAGCTGCTATGTCCTGCCGGTTGGCAAGCTTCAGTGACATGGCTAATCAAGGAGAGCTACTAAGGTGCAGGTTTCATGCCATCACTGCACTTCTCACCACACACATACACACACACACACACACACACACACACACACACACACACACACACACACACACATACTGAATACAATCTGAAGCCTCCTGCAATGCTTGGCTCTCTGAAACGTAGGTGGGGGTAGGATGGCTTCATCTTACACTTTGTGCCTACAGTTTTGTTGTCATTGTTTGAGATGTGGTCTCATGTAGTCCAGGCTGGCCTCAAACTTGCTATATAGTTGAGGGTGGCCTTGAACTTCTGATTCTCTTGCAAGTGCATCAACAGTATGCACCACCCGTCCTGGTTTCTGCAGTGCTCCGGGACTGAACCCTGTAGAGAAACCCCTGCCCCCTGCCCCTCCACTTCTGACCAAGCCCCCTTTTCTGGCTTACTAACATCCCCACTAATTTCTCAGAGAGCAAGGGGCTCCACAGCCTAGCCTGCTGCTGCGAGCATGGGTTCCTTTCCCTAATCTGGGTTCCCCACGGGCTTGGAGGTGAGCAGGAGCTGACCCACATGCAGATGATGGAAAAGTTTAAAAATCCATTACCAAAGTGCTCCAGATACACCAAATGAGAGGCTCTATAATCAGTATTAAAAGAGCAAAAAGCCTTCTATGGCCTCATCTTCCCCGCTCCAGGGCCATTACCTCTGCCCCAGCCACCATGGCAACAGAAACACATCTGGGAGAGAGTACAAGAGCCGAGCATTAAGCCAGGGAGGAGACCAATTACTTGTCCTCAGCAGTCAGGTCCTGCCTACTCTCTTCCACATGGCCTACATCTCTTTATTAACAGCTACCAGCTCGGTGCACCCGCCCACCCCCATTGGGTTCCATTTTGTCCCTTCCCATCCTGCCATGTCATGGTCTCCCCCTACCCCTACCCCACCTTGTCTTTCTCCTTTACAATCACCTACTTGATGAGACCCTCTCCAGCCCCTCTTCTTTCTGTGCGGTGGACGGTGGGATTGTTGGCACAGTGGCTGAGGGAAGGAGCCACAGAGGGCTCTGGTCACCTGGTTTCCTGGCTGAGTAGGATATTCACTGAGCAGAGGCAGGCATCGGGTGGCCGCCACCACCTGCTCTGAGTGAAGACTTCCTGCCCATGCTTCGCAGCAGTTCTTTGGGAGACACCCAGCACATCAAGACCACACTGATAAAGGCATGCCCGCCCTAGCTTACTCTAGACTGTCTAAACAGTGAGATTATTTTCCAGACTGTCTTTTTCTCAGAGATGATGTTTAAAAGTAGACTTTGCCTTCAGTTTGAGGTAGAGGATGACTGTGGACCTGGGTGGCCCTGGGAATGACTCCACCTGTCCAAAACTACTCACAGTGATAAATAACTTATTAAGAGTAGAAAGGGTGCCACTGTTTACGTTTATCAAAGTAAGTTGAGACTGTAGTTACAATTGGGGCTACTGAGCTATATGAGGAAAACTGGGCCTGAGAAGTCACCTGACACACCAGGCTAAAGAAACAGTGTAAGTCTGTCACCTGAACTACAAAGACTGGGTGGCTGACACGGTGATAGCAACAACCCTACCCAACTGTCGTCTGACCACTGTGTGTTTGTGTGTGTGCACACACGTGTGCACATGAGGGACAGTTTTATTTTTTCTGAAAACCCATGTATTTACATGGAATTTCATTTATTTATTCTTTAAACCTAAATTATGAAAACCCATGTATTTACATGGAATTTCATTTATTTATTCCTTAAACCTAAATTATGCTAAATGCAAATAAATAGATTATACAAGAGGCATTTAACCTCAAACCTTTAGTTTGAGAAAAGGGAATTTGTATTTATATAAAAGTAATGGTTAGTATAGAAAAAATATCAAATGAAGGTCTCTGTCGAAAACTTCTCTGGGGCAGAGGGGACTGCTCAGTCAGGAAGGAACTTGCCTTACAAACATGAGAATTTGAGTTCAATCCCCAGGACACAGGGCAAAGTTCTAAGTGTTGGGGTCCATGCTTGCAACCCCAGCCCTGAGAGGTGGAGTCAACAGGGTCCCAGGGGTCTGATGGCCAGCCAGACTAACCCTATTAATCAATGCAGGACACTGTCTCAAAGGAGGTAGACGGTGTTTCTGAAACCCACACTCCAGCTTGCCCTCCGACCTCCACACACATGTACACATCCTCCTGTATGCACATGGAATGGCATATACAGCATATACATGAATGTGCGCACACACATTCATATGAATGTGTAAAGAAAAACTTCTGAAATCTATTGTTTCAGAATTTGTAGTTTTCTATGTTATATTTTGTTAAAGTGGGGCATATTTAATCCAAAGACAACATGCCAATCTGTAGTAGACATAATGCGCCAATCTGTTCTTTGTTTTTGTTGGGACAGAGTCTTGTTTTGTAAAGTCCAGACTACCCTGGAACTCAACATTCTCCTGCCTCAGTTCCTGAATACTGGGATAGCTGGCTTGTCTCATCATGCGGGTTTGCAATTTTGTTTTTACCTCTAAGAGTGTAAAGTTTTCTTAAAGAGGCTCGACCTTCATTTATGCATTCACTCACTCACTCATTCATTCATTCATTCATTCATTCATTCCTCTCACAGAAGACAGGGGTTCAGCACCCACAGGATGGCTCCCACCAGTCTGTAACTCCAATTCCAGGGGATTTGATGGCCTCTTTGGCCTCTGAGTCACCTGTATAGACCTGACACACATAAACTCACACAGACATATACACGTAGGTATAAGAATGTCTTTAGTAAGTAGATAGCATTGAAATGACATAACTTCACCTAGTTTTCACAACTCTACAAGGTGGGTGTTGAATTAACCAACATTATAGGTGAGGATGCTGAGTCAGAGAATCCATAGAGCTAAGCAGCCAAGCAGAGTGCTCACACTGTCTTGCCTAGACCCACGGTGTCTGTCAAACAAGAGGGTTAAGACAAGTTCTTGGTTCGTCTGAACTTCAAAAAAGAGGACAGACCAAAAACAAAACAGAGCAAAAAACAAACGACAAGTGCTCTCATGAGGCCGGGAGGAATCCTGTGAGCAGCAAGTTTGGACAGAATGCTAAGACAGCACGGAGGAGGCGGTGGTGAATCCTACCCAAGGAGGGATTCTCACACTTCATAAAACCTAAGAACTGGGCATTGACGGAAGGGATGGCAGTTTGCCAAGCAGACAAGAAGAAAGTCCAGACAAAAGGAGTGGTGTATTCACCAGACCTCTGGCATCCCAGAAGTCAGGTCAGGCCAGCGGCCAGCCCGCCCGCTGTGGGATGCTTGGAGGATGCTGGGGCCCAGACTGTAGGCAGGGCTGCTCCTCGCATGCAAATACCTGTGAAACTGAAAGACTTTAGAGCTAGAAAAGAGCTTCAGTGAGACTGGGGCCCGCCCCCACCCTGGACTCCCCTGGGTATTGAGGGCTCACAGAGAACTCCCACTTCCTCTGAGGTTAAAAAAAAAAAGGAGAGGGCCAGGTGCAAGGTTACATGCCTGTAGCCCAGAGCTACTGTAGAGCCTGATGCAGGAGGACTGCTTGAGTGGAGGAGTTCAAGCCCAGCCTGGGCAATAAGGAAGCAGGAGGTGTGGGCGGGGCAGGGAGAGGAGTGGAGTTCAGGCAGCAACACTGGGTCTTGCTTGATTATAGAGGAGCTCCCAGGAGACCACTGTTGCTAGGATACTCTGAAATCTCAAGCGTGGGGATTGAGTTTCCTCTTCCTCCTCTGTCTATCTTACCAGTTCCTTCTGTGAGAGAAGAGGGTACTACTTCCTCCCCCAACTCATTTACCTCATCTCTTGGCTGTGCATAGTCATTACAGCACCTGCCCTGAGTTTAAAGGCTGTCCAGGTGTGGGACAGAGAGCAAGGAAATCAAGGCACCGTGTCAGAAGTCCTGGAGGACACAGAATGCACTTTCTATGTGATCCTGACTATGTGTCTGACTTGAGAAGCTCCTATCCCTTAAGTGAAGTTTAAAATGACTTTTCAAAGGTTCAATTCAAAAACTGAAGCCTGGGTCAGTGAGCTGACTCAGCAGGTAAAGATGCCGGCTGCCAAGCCTGGCAACCAGAATTTGATCCCTAAGACCCGCATGGTGGAAGGAGAGAACCAATCCCTGCAAGCTGTCTTCTGGCTTCCACATGTGCACCAGTGTGTGTGCCTGTTGCCTCCCCGCAATCGCGCGCGCGTGTGCGCGCACACACACACACACACACACACACACACACACACAAATAAAATTTAAAACAAGCAAAAACTGGAGCCAGTCATAGCCTGCTAGCTTGGGACCCAGAGTGCCCCTGAATTCTAGTGTTCCATTCATTCTCCACTGTACTTTAAGAGTACACCTGTGACTGGGAGTTTCCTATCTTGGTTTCAGTAGTCATCTTTAGTCAGTTGACAATTTCCATATAGATGTGCTGCCTCAGTGAGAACAAAAAGAATGTTTCTTTCTGCCCTTTTCAAGGTCAAACTGGGGTGTGGGGTAGAGAAAATGATGCCCATTATAGAAATATGGGCCAAAGACCCCTTTTCGTGGGAGAGTGATTAGCTCTTCAACCTTTTATCCTTAGCCCCAATCTGACTCACACCTTACCTGCCTGGCCCTCTCCCCCACAAAGTGAAATGTCAAATTGTTCTAGTGGCCAAGGTTCTCCAGCACCCTGGTCTCAAACATGCTCCAAGAACAGCAGGAGGTTGTAATTTCAAAGTAGACTGAAAACTAAGAAATAAAATAAAATAAAAAAGCAATACCAAATATGGAATTATTAATGTCTTGAAAGCTTCAGTGAGATTTATCACTCATCAGTTACTACTTTAACCCCCACACCGAGCAGATACTCACATGTCTGCAAGACACTTTGAGATCCTTGGCTAGAAGGCTCTGCAGAAAGGAAAAATGCACTTTATTTCTGGTGGCTCATTAAGGTGTAAAGTAATTGTCTGAAGACAGGAACATACAAGTTACCTACCTTGTTTAGGTCTCTTGCTTTTAAGGTAGATTGCAAGGAGAACCAAGGATAAAAGGATGACCAGCGCAGCCAGTGGGACCACCACCATTAACACGAACTCCATCGAGTTTGGGGACTCACCGGTGTATGTGGAATTTGTATCTGTGGTTAATGCTTCTGTGGTCACTACGGCCAAAGCACTTGTTGTCTCTTTGTCTACCTTTTCCTCTTCGGTGGTACTGTGTCCTGAGAGTTCTAACTCCTCATCATTGCCTGAACATGAACAAAATTGAGATTACCATGGAGACTAGGCTGACGCATCATAGCTTCTGTGAGTTTTTAATATATCCTAGATGCATTCAGTGGTGCACTGGATCCACTAAACTTGGTGTTTCCATTCGGTGTGACATGGATTATTGATTTGACTTAAATGAAGCTCAAGCTGGGAGTGTATCGAACATGGAGCCAAGGATGGAGGAAAATCTTCCACAAACACAGGCAGTCTAGCCTCAACCAGGCACTTGGACACACATACAGGGCATTAGAGGCTTTGTCACCTCATGAACTATTTGCCAAGCCATAGGGTGTAAGGATATTGTCATACAGTTTCTGAGTAAATTTAAATGTATACTTACAGGGTATGCCACAAGAAAAAAAAAAACATTTAGATGTAAATAAATGGTCCTGGAGGTATAACTTGGTGTAAATAGACTACATGCCATCCAAACATAAAGCCTAGATTCAATTTCTAGCACCACAAAAGGATGGATGGATGGATGGATGGATGGATGAACGGAAGAATGGATACATAAATACATAGATATAGATAGATGACAAAAGTTGATGGATAGATGGATGGATGGACAGACAAACAGTAGATAGATAGATATAGGAACATATTCTGCCTTAATTTTTTAAATAAGGGCTACTTATCCATGGAAAGGAATTCTTTGATTTGGGGATGATGTAGGTTTTGGTGTTGTGTCTTACATTGTGCATAGCACTCAGTCTGCCCTTGAGAGTGTCTGACAAAATCCTCCTGGATTTTAAATCAGAACAGGATGACTATCTCATTTGTGAAATAAGATTCTCGAGGCAATCTTTTGGAGAATAAGAAAACCCACCATTTATAGTTGTTTAGGAAACTGTCCTGATGGGAGGTCGTGGTTAACATTAGCTGCCCACCTGACAGGATCTGGAACCAAGCAGGAGGCAAACCCTGAAGGTGCCTGTGAGTTTCTAGTCGACATTAACTGAGGTGGGAAGACACACCCTCACTGTGGATGGCACCTGTCTGTGTGCTGGGTTCCAGGCGAGTGAAAAAGCGAGTGTGAGACGATCGATCGTCAGTATTCAGGTCTTCTCTGTTCTGACTGTGGACCCAATATCACCAGCCGCTTCCCTCTCCTGTCACAACACCTTCCCTGCCAGGATGGACTGAATCCTTGGCCTGTGACCCAAAAGTAAACCGCTCTTTTCTTAAGTTACTTTTGTCACAGCAACAAGAAAAATTATTACTACAGTGGAGCTTTCCCTATTTCAAAGTATAAGAAAGATTACCCTGTCTGACCTCGAGTGCCATTTAAAAATCCATCACAGAACGGAAAAGGACCTCACCTGGACCTGGTGGTCATGATGTGGGTAGAGGAATGTAGTTTTTTTATTTTTACTCTTTGGGGGCCCGCCATCCAGCCCTCAAACAAATACACAGATACTAATTCTTGCTTATGAATGCTTGGCCTTAGCTTGACTTGTTTCCAGTCAGCTTTTCCTGACTTAAATTATTTCATCAATCTTTTGCCTTTGTGCTTTTACTTTTCTCTATTTCTGTATTCTTTCCTTCCTTCTTACTCCATTTCTGGCTCCTGGCATCCTCCTTTCCTCCTTTTCTCCATCCTCCCTTTTTATCTTCTCCTTTTCTCCTGTTTTTTTTTTTTTTTTCTCTGCCTGGCAGCCCCGCCTATCCCTCTCTTGCCTTTCTATTGTCTGTTCAACTCTTTATTAGACAAATCAGGTGTTTTAGGCAGGCACAGTAACACAGTTTCACGGAGATAAACAAATGCAATGTAAACGAATGCAGCATATCTTTGCATCATTAAACAAATGCTCCACAACTTAAACCTAATGTAGCACATCTTAAACTAACATTCCACAACAGATGGACTTTGTCTTGTCATGGCGTGGGGCTGTCTCATACTCACCCTAGTGCAACAAAGGAAAATATTACATGCAGAAGACAGATAAGTAGGTGAAAATTCCTTCTGAGAAGAATCATGCCATGCCAAGGGAGATATCAGTGACTTTAAGCCACACACTGGCTAGGCCATGCCTCCATGGGATGACCACGCTGGACAGTGCAGAGCCATTCAATATAGTTTATCTTTCTTTGTAATTGCATGACAATGAATTCCTCTGATTCACACTCCAACAACAAAAATAACTGCTTACTTACAGTTATGGACTACTTGTGGACTATCCACCCCCCCCCAAAAAAATGCTTATATTGGTCCCTAATCTCCAGTATGATGGTATCAGGAGATGGGGCCCCCAGGATGAAGTTAGTGCCCTTGTATGAAAAGGAGGAAAGCAGCGGTATTCATAGTCTCTCCCCCACCCCCTCTTTGTTGGGTACCACACTCAGCAGCATGCACATGCAAAGCGTGTGCTCTACTACTGAGGTATTCTCCAGGCCTGCTTTCCTTTCTTTGGCCTACCCCTACTGCAGCTGTATACCTATTTCAGCCTAATTTTTCTTATTTATTCATTTGTTTGTTTAGAGAAGGTCTTGCTATATAGCACACACTTACCTCCAACTCAGGATCCCCTCACCTCAGCTTCTAGAGTATGGGGATTGCAGGTATGTGCCACTACACTCCTGCTTCTTAAGGATTTACTAAGAGCCAAGCCTTGCCTGGTGGTGGTGGCACATGCCTTTAATCCCAGCACTCAGGAGGCAGAGGCAGATGGATCTCTGAGTTTGAGGCCAGCCTGGTCTATAAAGCGAGTTCCAGGGCAGCCAGGACTACACAAAGAAATCCTGTCTTGAAAAACCAAACAATTTTTTCAAAAGCCTTTTATCTGTATCATTCCTTTTTAAGGCCTCTATGTTTGCAGATAGATACTGGGACAGAGTTCACACAACTTGCTTGAGATCACAGAGCTGACATGAAGAAGAGAAGGTCTGTATCTCCGAGGACTCATGGTGGAACGTGAGATTTTAACCTGGTAATTCATTTTTCCCCTCTGTTGGGGAGGTATGATGCTGACAATCGTGGGGTTTGGCTATCAGGCAGAGAGCAAGAGAGTGGAGCTCAGGTTCTTGTCCCTCAGCCTGGAACAGACGGTGGCGTTCTGGCACAGGGGCAGGTGAGGAAATGGTTCTGAGGATGCTCAGAATTGCTGGGTTCCCCTGGCCCCAGATGCAGGGATGCACGGTAGGCAGCTCTGCCCAAAATTACAACATCACTGCAGCTTCTCTTCTCTGGGATCCATGGACAAAGTCCCTACCCTGTGTCCTCCTCCCCACTTGACCTGTGACCCCAGAGAAGAGAAAATAGGGAAGGATACAGGCCAGTAAGAATAATAGAGGCTTCTGGCGATAGACCAGTGGAAGGAAGAAAAAGAGAAAGAAATGTTCCCAGTGGCCCTGGGCTATGCACTCTATTTTTCAAGACCAGGCAGGTGGCCATTGGTGGGACTGTGGAGTTTAAAGGGGCAGCAGGCTCTCCCTACAGCACACCCCACAGGCCCAAACATGTTTTTCATCAGGCTCTCCAGTGCCTATTTAAGTAAATGAGAGCTGAGAGTTCTTTCTGCCTCTGCTCTTCCTCTGCTTTTTAAATTAATTTTGTGGAACCCAGGGACACTTGCATGCTAAGCAAGTGCTGTATCAATAAACTATGCCCCAGAGCATGAGTATGTGTTCTCTCTCTCTCTCTCTCTCTCTCTCTCTCTCTCTCTCTCTCTCGTGTGTGTGTGTGTGTGTGTGTGTGTGTGTGTGCTTTTTGTTTCTTTATTTTACAGGTCTTCATTTTTGAGACTCCTATGACAACCTCCCCTGTCTCTCCCCGTGTCCTAGCCAAGCTTAATCTCATGAACAGCACCCCGCCCCCCCCCCACTGTATGCCAGGTTCTAGAATAAACCCCACTCCTACAGACATATAGCCCACCCACCCGACCAACCCCACCCACCCCGTGTCATCTAATTTGACCTTTAAAACTTTACTGTCCATACTTTGCCAATAATAGGTGACAATGTCTTTCCCCAGGGAGCAGTCCTGCCACTTGGGCTACATTCTAAAGATGCACAAGGGATTTGTTTTGTTCGTTAGCTTGCTTTTCTTTTTGAAAATGGATGCAACCCAGAGGCTAAGACAGATGGAACTCTGAGTTCAAGGCCAGCCTGGTTTACACAGTGAGTACCAGAACACCTGGGGCTACACAGAGACACCTTGCTGGGGAAAAAAAATCAAAATAAATAAACTGTGTGCTCGGAACTGAACGCAGGCCCTCTGTAACAGTAGCATGTGAGCTTAGCCCCTGAGCCATCTCTCTAGCGGCTGCCACTTTCCTCTGCTCTAAGAAGTCTCTCTTGAAGGTGATTCCATAAGTGTCTATAGAGAGCCGCGTTTTCCTCCCTGTTACTTGTTTGTGTCATCACCAGCTCTTCTTGATGGAAACTTAGCTGTTCCTTTTGCATTTCCAACCTCACTGCAATAATATCCCCGTGACTTTTCAGTTGTCACGTGGGTGAGTTCAGTGTGCCTCGAGAAGAGGAGGGCATGGGAGACAGTGTCTCGCGAAGGATAAGGGGGCTGCATTGCTCAACCCTTGATGGTCTGATCTCAACTCCCTAAGACAAGCCTGGCTGAGAACCTGGGTAGGGAGGAGTTAGGCATACAGGGAGTCTGAGGTTGAAGGGAAAGCGCTGGGCCTCGGACCCCAGAGTTTGTGGGAAGAGGCGCAATGCCATGGAGAGGGGAGCTGAAGACTGGGGCGGTTGTAACCAGGAGCAGGCCACCCAGGCACCAGGAGTAAGAATGAGAGGAAACCAGAAGCAAGAATACCAAGCTTTAAAGTCAGAGGTGACAAAATGATGTGCGTGGAGCCAGCAGAAGGCAGCTGTGGGCTTCACCCCAAAGGGATTCGGGGTTGTTCTTTTGGTTTTCCTTCCACAGCCACTGAGTTAAAGCCGCTTTTAGCCCAGTAGACATGGGGAACCCTAAACGATGAACCCTAGTCTTTTCTAAGAAACACTTGCCTGTGCTTTGTGA